GAGGCAGGAGGATCGTTGCAAGTTCGAGACCAGCCTGGGCTACAAAGTGAACTCAAGGTCAGCCTGAACTCCACACTGAGACCCTGTCTCAAAAAGACACCCCCCCAAAACAAAAGAAACAGAATTTTAAAATGCACCCTGACTAGTTATGTAAATTGGTAATTTTTAAAAGCATAACTGATAATTTGGTTCCTTTTTTTTTTTGGTCTGTTTTTCTTCCAGTACCAGGAATTGAACTCACGACCTTGTGCTTTCCAGGTAGGCGCTTTGCCGCTGAGCTAAATCCCCAGCCCCAAGATTCCTTTCTTCATAAAATGGAAATTTAAATATCTCTGCTGATAGTCTTGAGGTTATCATCATGCCATGAGTAGCGCGGGTGTGGCACATCTAGTTTCACCTAGAAAGGTGCCCATGGTACACGCCTTCTCCAAACAAACTGTGCATAACAAAATGTATACAGTCCGTGCGTGAGAAAGAGCATTTCTCAGATACAAGGCCGCCCCTCTGGGCACTGTTTTATTTAGGTTTTGTGTTATTACTTATAGATTTATAGATTAATTGCACATAACATATTTTTGTACATTTAAACCCCGAGGATAGAAAAAAATAATTTTTGCTTAAAAATATTATTCCAAGTAGCCTTTTTTTTTTTTTTTTTTTTTGTCTTTTTGAGACAGGGTCTTGATATGCAGCTCAGGCTGGCCTTGAGCTCACTTTGTAGCCCAGGATGGTCTCAACCTCGCAACGATCTTCCTGCCTCAGCCTCCCAAGTGCTGGGATTACAGGTGTGCACCACCACGCCTGGCAGCCATTTGGTTTGTATTAGGAGAAAGCCAAACTTCTGAGCTGTGTCTGCCAAATCAGAATCATCAGCTGTGCTGGAGAATCAGCTCTGCAGTGCGCTTCACAGGGACTCTCCCACGTCCAGGCAGCACCTCTGTCCCACAGCAGCCAGATGATGACAATTCCAGGTCTGCCCTTGTGTGTGGTTTCCCTTTTTTTTTTTTTCCCTTTTCTGGATTAACTGTGTTATTGAATTATTTCCTCTTTTGACCTCTCTGCTGACCTTCTATTTGAATTACTTATCAATCCTTCCAGCATGTCCTCAGAGAGCTCCACAGGGGGAAGTTCTGGAGAGGGAAGCGTCAAAGGAGGAAGTTGGGGTATTGGAATGTCCTTGGCTTTCCTGGTATTTGCTGCAAACCTCTGCCAGGTTGAAGAGGCTGCAGCATTTTCTCAATGTGGTGGCAAGATCTACAGCTCTGATTTTTCTACAAAATCAGCATCCACACCCACATCAATTTTCTACCAAACCTTTTAGAAGTCTGGCCTGGCCGGGCGTGGTGGCGCACACCTGTAATCCCAGCACTTGGAAGGCTGAGGCAG